TGGCAATTCACCGCAAGTGGGCAGTCGGTTTGAATGGTCATTTTTGTTACCTATTTCCTTTGAAACAGTTCTTCCTCTGTTTTTTTGTCTGTTTTGTTCTGACATTGACCATCTCCCTCCTAGATAAGAGTGTCAATTTTGAGCCATTAATTTATTAGATACAAATAATTATAAAATTAACACAATTATTAAATATACTTAATAAATAATTTAAAATACCTAATTAATCAGTTTTCATACATTGAACATGGTCAACCAACATATTTTTTTAAATGTTTGAATTATTATGTTTAAATAGTTATATGTTATGCATGCAAAAAATAAATAAATAAATAAATAAAAAAATATATATATATATATATATATATATATATGTTATGCATGCAGATTAATATTGGTCAAATAACATATTTTTTGAAGATATTTTGACGACATTTTTAAAAATATTAGTGGGTTTATTTTTATCATTGTTTGTTGAAATTTTCTTTTATACCTTGCATTTATATATAGACAGATGTTATGAACTTATTTACAAATAACACCGTGTCTTCAGATACGGACAATTACTAGTTAATATATATTTTATTATTATATTTATATATAAAATTAATACATACATAATATGTAATAAATAAATAGGATATATGCATATATTAAAGGAAATAAAAGTAAATAACATACATTTCAACACATATAATTAACTTTTCTTTTATTTTTTCTCCTACTTTTGGAGGAATATATTTTGATGAGTTGAAAAAAAAATTAATTTATCTATTAAATATGTTAATTTGAAGAAATTGAATATGAATTTGATAAATTAAATATTAATTTGGTGTTAAATTGATAAAATTAGTGTTAGTGTGATGAAATTAATATTTGAATTAACGAAATTAAATGTCAATTTGATAAAATTAAAGTTCAATTTAATGTTAATTGAATAAAAATAAATTCAAAATTAAATAAATTGAATGTTAATTAAATGAAATTAATTTTTAAAATGTTAATTGATTTTGTTTTAAATTGATGAAATTAGTGTTAGTGTGATGAAATTAATATTCAAATTAGTGAAATTAAATATCAATTTGATGAAAATAAATTATAAGGTAATTGAGAAACAAGGGGATTAAAGGGTAAAGTTCATGTCGGAATTTACCATCTATATAAGTTATTACTTGTAAAAATTCCCAATCAATCTTAAAAGTTTTATAACTTGATTTCTAAAAATTATTCAATTACAATATTTTATAATCAATCATAATCTTGAATTGTAACTTAGAATATTTTTTTGAGTTTTCACATTACAAGGTTTTTATTTTTGGTATGAGACCATCGTCCTGTTCCTCTCAAGTTAATCAGTTAATTTAATAAAAAATGGGAGTTAACCCTTGATTTCGTTGGTACCATTCAATTCAACTGTTTATTTATTCTTTCTTCTTCGTAACAAAATTTCTTATAGTGATAATAAACGGGTTGAATGAACGAGCTCAAGTCTGAACTTAAAAAAAAATTATTCAAACGCGACTCGTTTTTTAAATGAATAGGCTTGAGCCGAGCTCTTATTAGCAAGCTGAGCCCTTATTAGTTCGATTATTTTATATATAAACAAGCTGAATTTTATGAATTCTAGCCAAGCTTATAATATTTATTTTTTAAATGAGTCTAAAATATTATTTGAGATTAAAACAAATTAAATTCTAACTAAACTTGAAAAGCTCGGATCGTTGACCTCTCCTAGGTGCAAACTGTAACCCCCAGGGTTGGAGTTGGGGGTGGGGCGGCGTGGGTATCAATAATGTCAAAATAGTCATTCATCCATAGTCCAAACCCCCCTCAAACCCTACGCCATGGCCCACCAGCGGTGGACCGCGGCAGTGTTTTTCAAATTTTGGCTTGATTTGCAGTGTCATGAAGCTGAGCGTATTGCATGTACGGATTGATAAATAATTCAAAACCAATTCTTGTATCACAACCATTTTCAAATTTTATTCCTTTAATGTTATACAATTTCTAACTAATTTTCAATTTTGTAATTATTATTTATGCAAAAGTGTGGTTTAATTTACTCTTTCTGGTGTAAAATGTGTTTGCCTATGAACAATGATAAATTAAAAAATAGATTAGAAATTGTGGAAATAAAAAAATTAAATTAAAAAATTGCGGTGAAATGATGAAAAAAAATTCCCAAAGCACAGGGGACAATGAGGATTTTAATAGTTGGGCTTGTAACCAGGCCCAGGTATTGACCCAAATCATTTTTGGGCTGAGCCTATACTTATTCAAGTTTAACCATTCCCATGATCGAAATATTTCCTCAATTTTTGTCTACAGAATATCATCCACATGAATTTTAAGTAGAGTCTCTTTCATATTTAAGGGATTTCACATTAATACACTAAGTGGACTGGTCCAGTGGGGTATTGGCCGGATTTTTCATCTTGAAATTGGAGGTTCGAATTTTGGAGTTTACATTGGAACTTTATGATTGACCATTATCCTAGCCTAACTAGATTCGTTTCCGAGAGGTGTAACAAACTCGGTCAGGGGCTTCATAATCCCACCAATGAAGATCTATTGGGATGATCTCTAGATGCTCTTCTTGGTCCTCACCCTCTTGTTTTTAAGTAAAAAAAATGGATTTTCCATTAATACATGATTATTATTATTATTTTTTTATGATTAATGATATACCATTCAAAACGGGATTCAAGACCCACAATAATTTGTGCATTTATTGCTACGTGAGACAGTAAAAGTATCAACTTTAGGACATGTTCGATTGAAGTATTAAAAGATTAGATTGTTATTGAAAAACATGTCAATGAAAAAATATTGTTATAAAAAAATACCTAATGCTTCGTTTGATAGGAACGATAGAAAAGAAAATGGACTGAAAATATTCATACCAATTCTTTTAAAATGACCTGAAATATACTGTTGATCATATCCTCCATATTAATCAAACTATCACGAAAATGTATTAAAAAAAACCCCAAACCATCACATATACATCGGAAAAAGTAACTAGTGGAACCTAATAAAATTTATAATTTTTAAGTAAGAAATAAAATCTTGCTCATTAATAAGACATATAAATTTGTCACCACTGTCACCATTTAACCTTTAACACACCATAATTATAAACTCATTCACTTATTATTTTTTATTGGTGATTAGCTTAATTTTGAATTTTTTTTTTGGTACAATTTGTATCACTTGTTATTTTTTTTATTGATGATTAGCTTGACTTTGATTTTTTTTTTTGGTGTAATTGGTTTCACTTGTTTCTTTTTTTTTTATTGGTGATTACTTTTTTTTTTTGGAACTGTATTGGTGATTACTCGACTTTGAATTTTTTTTATTTTTTTGATACAATTGGTTTCACTTGTTTTTTTTATGGGTGACTAGCTTAGTTTTGAATGTCTATAACATGGGGAAATTTTTTTAGAATTCAAATATTTTCTCATTTTATAAAATTACTCAAATATTTGGTTTTATTATTATTTTTCATTAGTGATTAGCTTGGATTTGAATGTCTAAAATTGGGGAAAAAAAAATTTTATAGTTGGTTTTGAATATTTTTTTTAGTGCAATTTGTTTCACTTATTTTTTTTATTGGTAATTAGTTTGGTTTTGAATTTTTTTTATTTTTTATTTTGTGCAATTGATATCACTTGTTATTTTTTTATTAATAATTAACTTGACTTTGAATTTTTTTTGTTTTTGTGATTAGCTTGGTTTTGAATATATACAACCAGGAATTTTTTTTTTTTTAACATTTAAATATTTTCTCATCTATAAAATCATATAAATGTATGAGTAAAGAAGTACTGAAAATAGCAATAACACATTTAACAATAATAAAATTATATCAAAGTTACAAACTTTGAGTAAAGAAACATTGAAAATAACAATACACATTTAACACATTACATTCACTCACAAAAATTAATGAATGATATAGAGAGAGGGTGAGTGTCAGCGAGAGAGAAAGTGTTATATGAGAGACGGTAGAGTGTGTGCTTGAGAGAGCGTATTTAAAACGTTTAAGAGATAGGAGAGAGATATGTATAGAATGTGTATTTAAAACAAATATGAGATAGAGAAAGATAGTTGGATGTATAAGATAGAGAAAGAGAGTTATATGAAAGTTTTAGAGTTATAATGTGAATGAAAGTGTAAATTAGAATTGTCGAATCAATAATTCTCAAATGATCTAAGTCGCAAAAAGTTAAAGACAAACAATCTAAATGAATGAAAGTTTAATTAGAATTATCGAATCAATAATTGTCAAAGAATCGAAAAGCTAAAAACAAAAAAATCAATCTACTTTATTATATAGATATCAAAAGATATATAAACAAACAAGATATATTTCAATACAAATAATTAATTTTTTATTCACTTTTTTTCTAATTTTGGAGAGATTGATTTTAATAAGTTAGAAATAAACTAAGCTTTCAATGAGTTGCAACCATCTTGAACTATATTGGAGTAAAATAAGTAAGGTCCATTTGGACTTTGACTTTTTTACCCATTGATGCAGCAATTTTTTAGACTCAAAAAAGTTTATTTAGGCTAATTCAAGAAACTAATTTTTTGAACTTTTATTATGACTTTTTAGGTTTTTATCACAAATCCCAAATAATTTTTTAGTTTATTATATTCATAAAATATTATTAGTGACAAATAATTTAAAATTCATATTTTTAGAACTATTATGCATAATTTATACATACATCTAATTATTTTTTTATTTTAATACAAAAATCCAAAAAAGTTAGAAGTTACTCCAAACAATTTCAATGAACTTTTTTAATTCTGACTTTTTTACAAAAATTTTCAAAACGTAACTTTTCTTTTAAAAAAGGCGGTCCAAATAAGCTCATTATTGCATGGATTTGTCATTGAGCATAACATTTTGGGTTGCCCAAAAAGGGTCAAAATTTATTAGGTTGCAACATGGAGAGAGAGAGAGAGATGAGGACATTAATGATGTTGAATTAGGCCGATAGAGATGTTTTAAATTCAAATCCTTGGTTAAGAAGAGCCCCAGCTATCCACTGCTTCAAATTTGGCAAGTTTATGTTCACTTCATCACATTCTCTAACCTGTTTCCATTCATAAAAAACTGTTTAATTACTACAAATTTCTAAAGGAAGTAACAGAAAAAAAAAATCTGATCAACTTGTTGTTGAAGAAGAAAGCTTACATGCAGTGTGAATGTTAATACAAAGTTCTCAGCAACTGTAGCCAAGTTGGAGCTCCGAACATTGAAGCTGCTAAGTGACTCTACAGCCATGTAAAGTGATACTGCAACTCCGTTCCCTCTGTTGCATGTTAATCTCACATAAAACTCTCTCTCCTCCACTTGAAACACGTCCATCTACAGTGCCATAGGGGAAGTAGTTTTCATTTGGAATACAAATGAATCAAATCGAGTCGATTTGAGCATAGAACTGGACTATTCACGCTTAGTTCGTTCGGTCAGAAAGTATTCACGAAGAGTGTTCAAGATTGACTGAGGATTGTGACCAGCTCGGCTCGTCTTATTGAAGAAACAAAACTCTAAGTCTGTTTTCAAGCTTAAACTCTAGTTTATAGTCATGTTCAAAATCGTTACATAAAATGTTTATGAATATCCACTAGGTACTTTATGTGTGTGTACTTTATGAACACTGTCAGAAAAAATCTATTTTTCTTCGAAACACACTTTTTTGTGATGGTAGACGCAACCGCAGCAAAAAAATTGTCTAAAAACCCTATTAATGATCAAAATATATAGGATTATCAAACTGACCTGCACTATCTTCTTGCATATTGGATGGAGATTTGCATATGAGCTTCCTTGATATTGGTCCACTCCATTTACGGATGATTCGAGGGTTACAATCTCAGCCTTAAGCTTCTTAGCCTGAATTTGCAGTTCTTGCACATACAATATAGCATCTCCAATTATGGACGCCTTATCCATCTGCACAAACAGATGCCAAATGATTTATCAACCCATAGCCACTTATTCGCCTTGGCAGAGTTTTATAGTTCTGATCAAATCAAAGATTAAAATTTTTTTTTCCAAGTTCACAAGATTTCCGTCATTGCAGAGTTTTAGAGTTTTCAGTGACAGACAGTTTCACGCCCATTTTAAGGAATTAAGTGGTAGATAGTCTTGCACATATTGTGGAGAGGTTAAATTGCAGATTCAAGTTCACGAAATATCACTTGAGCTGATGGAAAATTGGTTACTCAAGGATTATGTAACCATATAAACTCTAAATTTATAGGACCAGGGTCTGGCTCCTCTGTTATTAATTTTTAACAGTAAATGTGTTATTAATTAAAATAGCATCGTTTTGTACCAAAACGATGTCGTTCTATTTAACAAAATTATGTTGTTTTAATCAACAACATCTCTGCTATTAATTTTCCTCCGGCGGATAATCATTAGACCAGTTGATAGGATCAATATGACAAAATACATAAAATCAAACATATGAGAAGAAGGGATAGAGGAACACACCTTGGTTATGTTGGGAACCAAGGAACGCAATGCATAGAGCTTCTCCTTCATCCGGCCTCTCCTCCGCCTTTCAGATATTAAAGTTCTCGATCGATCAGACTTTGTACTCCTCTTTGTCGTTGTTGTTTTTGTTGTCGTTGTCGTTGTTGCAGATGATTCTTCTCCATCATTCTTTTCCTCCACTTCTCCATGATGGGAATTAAGGACAGAATTCAATTCAGACACAGTTGGGGCATTGAAATCAAACAATTCTCCCGGGGGCAGGCCGAAATGGCCATCAGCCAAACAGCCATCAATGTGCTCGCAGTCATAGTTGGGGCAGAACTTAACAAAAGGATCTGCAGTTTCACCCCTAATGAGTTCAATGAACTGCTCAAAATTTGTTCCATCCATGAAATCTATGAAGTTACAGTCACTAACATGACCCATTGGATTTCCAGAAACATCTATTTTCTCCATTGTTCTTGAGACAGATTGATTGTGAGAGGTCTAGGTTGTTTATATCTACAACATACATGGTTACCTAATCACTAGTGTGAATGGAATCATGGATGGTTTCTAGATTTTTTATGATTTATATAAAAAACTATGAGGGTTGACAATATTTGTAGAAAAGATAATGTACCTTAAAAGTAGTTGACGTTTCTATGTCCTCTCTAGTTTTGCATGAATTTTTTATGGGTCATAAAATAAATGCAAGTTAACCGCGAATATAGCTATAGGCTAACCATGTATCTGTGTTATTTTTTGGGTGATGATTCAGTGCTAAGATTGTGATATTGTAAGCTCGAGCTTTTAGCCATTGGATCCATTATTTCATCGATTTTTCCCCGTCTTAGATGGGTCCATGTTAATTCTAGATCACAATCGCTCGAGTACTAGTCAGTCTAACACTATCTTTAATTAATCCGGGTATTAATCAATCATGCCGTGTTCGAGTTAACATAAATAATCCATGAACCAGGAATTCCAGACTTTTCTCCCTCAACACTCTCTATAAAGCCAAAAAAACCACTTGATCTTTGTGATATAAACATTAAGCAAACAAATCTCCCAAGAACTTCGTGTCGGTCCGTGTCATTTTGAAGTTTCATGGAACAAAATGTCTGGGTGCCAATGGTTGTAGGCTTAGCCTTTTTGATTTAAAATCTTTGTTCATAAATTGATTTGTATAATCCATGGGTGTTCTCATTTTGGGATTTGTTTTCATGAGAGGTTGGTGGTTGATCCAATATAAGCATGGTGCATTTTTCATGAGCAATGCAGGTTATCTACTCAATATAAACTAATTCATCTGGCCATAAATATTGGGATTGAGTGGCACTCAATCCTTTTTGACTATCATCTCATCTGAACAAAGTCAAACTCTTGATGGTGACTTTGATAGTTTGGACAAAACTGCCAAAATGTGTAGAAGTAATCATCTGATAGAAAATTCTTAAAGGCGGTTAGTGGTTAGGTCTGATTTTTAATAATTTAGAGGTTTCAGATTTAATCATTTCTTACGCTCTTCAAAAACTAATCACCTACATGTTCTATCCCACTTCAAGTCACAATAACCAAGTAGTCGGCACAAGTTTCTTGTAGCCATAAAAAAAACCATCTAATAGGGGGAATTTTTTTTTCTCTGAGTAGCTTCTTAAGCAACACAGCCCCATTAACACATCTTCATTAAGCAATATTGAGAGCTGCTCCGGCATGCGAAAAAATCATAATAAATGTAAATTGTTGATTTTTGCATGCCGAGCCCAACCTCGTTGAGAACATTCTTCATATTGCTAATCAATTAGTTGTTTGAAATATGATCTAATTTACACATCCAAGCATCTAAATTACCCTAAGACTGACTCTTGATTTTCTTCATCTTGTGACTTTATTACCATCAATGCTTAGAAGCACGTTTTAGAGGAATTATCCAAACTAAACTCCTAGTGTTCGTGGAGAGAATAATTCAATAGGAGAAATAGGAGCAACCATCAATCTCAATTCAAAATGTTCTTTATATGTTGTGCAAGTCGGTAATAATGAAACATGAAACCACTGAGCAAGGACCAATGATTGATTAATGGTTAAAACTTATCAATTATTTCTGGTTAATGTGTGCGAATTGTCTTAAATGTATCTTATTATTATCGATCTTTTGAAGGTATGAACATGATTATGTCAACAAATATTCTCTTAGGTCACGTTATGCCGAGAGTTATTTTTAATTTTATGATGCCCTATCATTCCTCGTATTCATAAATGCATGTATCTCTATATTTTTTTCTCTCTCAATTTTCGTGCAGGATTTTTATTGTTATACATGTAAAATAGAGGGTAAACTTTAGCCTACCTTTCTATGGTATACCCTAAATTTATTTTGCTTCTCAGTGATTTAAAAATGTCCACATAAAACTCTGACGCAATTTTTAGACTAAAATACACGGTTAATAATTTCGTCTAACTTAACTAAAATTGTATCTCACACAATTATTTTGCGATTTGAACTGTACACTTCATTTTTTGATGACAAAAATACCCTTGTATCAATCCTTGTCTTTTTTACACTGTATATCCTCTCTCTCTCTCTCACACACACACACGCACACAAACCCATCCCTACAAAACACCTCTTCTCTTAAGAAGTTTGACAAACCTTAGAGAAGACTAGTACTTGTGACGGCATGACATGACAAAAAAAAAAAGAATCAAATATGATGCTCTGAAAAATTCATACAAGTCGGCTTTTAATGCAGTTTTGTTTAGGAATTGTCTACAATACCAAAATTTACTATCCAAAGAGATTAAAGTGAAGATTCAAATAGTTTAAATTATTATCCAATCGAATCAAGTTAGATAAATTCATAAATCTCATTGATTTAGAACTGTAATCTCAACATGTAAATTTTTTGGTTTGTTAAGGACTTGGTCCCTTATTTTTTTTTTTATGAGTGATTCAGGAACTGAGTCTGTCCTATTATAACCTAAAGATTTCAGATTCAACATTTCTCTTATATCCTAAGAGTCAGTTATTTTTATTCTTCTAGGGACATATTCTAAACCCTCTCGGGTTACGATGATAGGTATTTGACCTCGAGAAAATAGTCAGCACAAGCTTGAATAACCTGTTGCAAAAAAAAATTGCAATTTTTTTTTGGGTTTTTTTTTTATTTAGCATTAGTGCTATTTGTTTATCAATTTGAATATTATGGTATACAAGGCACGTGTTCCTCTGTTGCTAGGGTAACACCAGCACGTGCCTCAATTCACAAAACACAGTTATGAATGACTTATAACAAAATAAAAATAATACAGGGCTTTGTCCGTCCACGGGCATACCTTGTGTCCGTCCACGGGCATCCGTTGTGTACTCCTTCACTCAGTCATTCATTTCTTTTCATTTTTTTGGTCTGGAATAGAAATTGTATTAAAAAAAGAGGTCATCACAAGGACGTATTGCATCAATAAGTCATACTATCCCTACTTTAGCCTCCCTAACAAAGACTCTCAGTATCTAGAGTGGTAAGTCTTCCACCCAGTAGTTAGGTAAACTCTCAACTCTTGCTTGTGTGGTTGTATTGTGTGCTGCCATATTTGCCTCTCTTCTAATTACTTTGAATTGGACTCATGGGATTTGTTTCTTATACTCCTCAAATATTCTGCAATATTGGCTCGAGTTCACTATTATTCTGGAATCAAATTCAACGATCAGTGTCTGGTATTCCTTTCTGAGAGTTAGTCTGCATGCTCTCCCAACTTCTACTTCAGTAGTCAAGGGTGTTTTTGCCAATAAGGTCTTGCTTCCCCATTTATCATTACTCATGATTTCTTGCTATAACTGCATAAGCCCCTTCCCCAGTGCCCTTAGCATATGCCCCATCGTAATTGAGCTTTATGCACTATCGTGATGGAGGTTTCTATTCTTGTTCTTTTGGATCTATGTCACTTTTTGCTCTATAGTATCATTCATTTGCTGGGACTCCTCAATTGTCATTACTACTTGGCTGAGAACCCTTTTACCTTTGGCTAGTCTTTGTTGATAACACATTCATTTCGGGCCTTCCATATAAACCAGCAAATATATGCCAGTAAAGATTGACTGTCACACCCCATCCCGAAAAAGGGATAAAGTGTTAGTAATTATAAACCCATTAACCTTAAACCCACAATTATCATCAAAGTAACTAAGCTATGCAATAATAAAATTAACTCTTTTTCCGTAACATTAAAACCGAAGTTTTTAAAACACAGTGTTACAACAAGTTAGGACACCATACCCTTCACATTTAAGATAAATCAACAAAAGATTATGTATAGTTATGTTACTTATTATTTTGTACTTTCAAACAACAAATTCTCTATGTCAAACTACATTGCTCAATGGACCAACTTCACATCTCGTGAGTCCTGAAAACAAGAAAATGTGGAGGTGTGAGCAAAGCCACAAGCTCAGTGAGTATATTTGAAACATATAGAAAATAAAGCCAAAGCACAACACAGTAACAACACTTTCCACATAATAGGATTATATATTATTACCCAACTAAATATTAGTAATTAATGCTACCCGTTTCTGTCTGGAAGTTTCTGCAATCTCACACTACCGTTTATGTCTAGTAGTCTCGACAATTTTATTACTATCGTCTAAGCCTGACAGTCTTAGCTATTATCTCACCACTGCTTATGCCAAATAGTCTCAGCAGTTTAAAACACAATTTTCACATAATTTCTCAATTCAAATTAAAACAATCATTATACAATACAACATCCTTCTATACATAATTAGGCTATAACCACATATAAGTATATGGCTTATAATAGTTAAACTCATTTTCAGTGAATATGAGACAATACAATCACCTTGAGTCAAATATCAATCAAAGTTTTTTTCCTTTGTGATACCTTAGGTGAATCTAACGCTAACGTCATTGTTTCTGCACCAAAAATACATCGTCACAAATTACATAAATACCATTTCAAACAAATGATATTATGTCACACATGTACAAGTGATTAAAGCTTAGCCCGATACCTTCTCAATATTTCCTTCCATTTATTATATTGTATCCAACTCTTAGGTTTAATGATGTGTTTATAAATAAATAATTCAAGTAGAATTGATTGAGACCCATTAATAGAAGGTTTGAGGTTGAATGGACAATGAGTTACAAATGTTACGGCAAAACGGTGAAAATTTCATGTTTCTATCAGTAGAATTTTTTTTAAAATGTCGTTCTACCAATAGAACACCATCTCTTACCAGTAGTAACTTCCCACAGAACTTCATTCTACCAGTAGGACTTTACTTCAAATAGGGATAATACCTCACAGAAGGTCGTTCTATCAGTAGAACATCACTTCCTACCAGTAGAACTTCTTACAGAATGTCATTCTAGTGGTAGAACATCACTTCCTACCAGTATACACAAAAATCCACAATCCAAAACCATAACCATAGCCATGATTTACCTACACCA